ATAATCTTTTTACTTCGCTGAAGAAAAGACTACTACTTTTGAACAACTGAAAGTCACTTTGCTACATTATATGAATGACCCATAATTGCTGCATTGTTCTGATGTTTATCTAAGACTCTGCATGAGTGGTTTTTCCTTGATGCTAATCCCATTAGAAGTAAAATGGACTGAAGTTTTGAATCTGTTCCTTTAACAACAACAAAAAAAAGAAGCCTGAACAAGCTGTTAAATATCGGGTGTCATTTTACAGATGATGAGATGGAGCAGTAGAGTAAATTAGGGGCGAATTAACCTATTTCAAAGCTTTTAATAAGACAAAAATACTACAAGTAACCAAAATTACCTTAGGCATATGAAAAAACAGCATGCAAAAAGGCCAGATGCATTAAGAATGTCTCATATCATACCAAATTTATATTGAAACAAGGGTGAGACAGGTCTACTATGCAGCACAAATCCTCCTGCCTCAGCTTCCCAAATCCTGAGATTACAGACATGCATCACCATGCCTAGCTCTCACTTTCACTTCAAAGATAATCCTTTTCTTGGAACCTTAATACCCTCTCCTTCCTTAACATCTTATCCATCCTTCCTTCCCCCACCCCACCCCCACCCCCAAGAAGGCTCTTGCACACCATTCTTTATTCTGGAAAGGAATTCCTGGTATGGACACAAGGTGTTCTGGATGGAGTGTGATGCCTTGGATTTAGAGGCTTGAAAGGGTCAGGATCATAGCCTAGGGGTCTGGTCTCCCTGGCAGGGCCAAGCTTCTTGATCCTTTCAATTACTGGAAAAATTAATTCTCTGGAGCTTTTCAAACACCCATTACTATTTATTGGTGGGTGATTTCTAGTGCCTAATGGATCAACATCCATTTGATACAATCTGGTTTCTGAGAAAATTCATAATCATAGGCTTAGAATACTAAGCTCATCTTGGGCAAGATGACCACAGAAAAAGGAGAGTAGAGTGTCTTGATTTCTGGTCATGTCTCAACCATTGATCATATAGGCACACCAAAGCAACTAACAGTTGCTGTATGTCTAAGTGCTATTTAAAATAGCTAAGCACCACTGACTAAGTTGGATCTCAGCAATGATTATTACTGGCCATTAACATTACAGAGGTAGAGACAGCCTGGCCTGGAGTACTTCCTCACAGAAATATACATTTTTTTTTTTTTTGGTCATTTTGAGACAGGGTCTACCTGTAGCCCCAGCTGTCCTGTAACTCACTATGTAGACCAGGCTGGCCTTGAACTCACAGAGATCTGCCTGCCTCTGCTCTGCTGAGATCAAAGGCGTGCGCCACCACGCCTGGCATAAAATATACATTCTTAAATGCAAAGCATTATCATGTAGATGGAACAGCCCTTTCCAAAAAGTCCATATACCTGTTTAGTCTGTAGATTAGTCATTTTCAACTGGAGCAGTAAGAGAGTTATTTTGCTCCAGGACATTCAATGTTTGACATTTTAGGTTGTCACAGTGAGGGTGTGCACAGGACAACCCCGCACAATAAGGAATGCTCGTCTCCCAAATGTAATTAGTGCCAAAGTTGACAACCTGAGTGTGAGATCTAGCTAATTTCCAGGAGATCAGGGAGAAAGAAGAATATGGTAAAGGATGCAATGAAAAAAATCTAGACCAGGAATTTCCAGGACAAATTACCTGCTTTTCTTTACCAAATAAATTGCAAGGGGTAAAGAATAAAAATAGAAAAAGGAAATTCTACAAATAAAAAGCTTTTAGAGATGTACCCACCAACTCCAACATAAAGATTTTATTTGATTGGTGATTAATAATCTGTAAAAATAATAGCAACATAATTGAGGAATTTAAAAAACTAACCATAGCTAGTTAATTTAATTTTTAGATGTGATAATGACAGTGTGATTTGGGTGTTCAAATGAAATTATATGATTCTGAGGGTTACATCAAAGCAATAGAGAGGAAAAAAGGAGATATAGGCAAAATGAGATACCTATGAAATTACAGATGGTTGATATGACCAAGAAATAAGGTTGCTGTACAATTCATATTGCTTTTACATAAGCCTTAAATGATACATTTTTAGAATACAAACTAGCTAAACAAACTTCAAGGCAATATATCTTATAAACATTCGTTGCTATTGTAAACTATTCTGAAGTTGGGCCTGGTGGTATATGTTAGACTCTAGCACTTGGAAGGTGGAGCCAGGGGGACCACTGGTGTGAGACCAGCCTGGAATGTTCTATGCTGGCCAGATGTGGCACACGCCTTTAATCCCAGCACTTGGGAGGGAGAGGCAGGCTACAGGGAGACCCTGTCTCAAAAAGACAAAAGAAAAAAAAGTGAGATTTATCTTAAGGCTTTCATGTGGGCAGAAGAGTTTGTATCATTCCAGAAATAGTGATCTATAAATATAGATCTCTTTCCATTGGGATCTTTATTTCACTCGTGGTGAAAGAAAATTCTTATTTTAAAAATTATGAGCTGGTGAGATGACTCAACAGGTAAACACACTTGTCAACAAGCCTCTCGACCTGAGTTCAAAGAGCTGATCTCCATACAAGTGCTGTGGATACATGCCCACATACAATACACACACACACACACACACACACACACAAACACACACACACACACACACACAAATAAATAAGTGCAATTTAAAGACTGTTAAATAAAATTCCTCCCTGACACTTCCCAAGGCTCAGTCAGCCCCTCCCTTCCCTCTCTTCCCCTCTCTTCTACTGCAGCTTCTCACTTGCTAGCATTCTGCCAGGTTTTCTCTGGAAGGTCCACTGGCAAAGCTGTGAAGCAGTTGTACTAGTCACCAGTGACACTAGACTTGGCTGAATGGTGCTCAGATGGAAACACTCCAAAGTCTGTCTCAGCTGCCTTTTATTTTCTCCAAGCAACATTCCCTTCAGTCCAATGCGTTCGGGATAAAGTTCCCATTTGTACACATTTGTAAATAAGGGATAAAGACATAGCCTGTGGGGCAGTGGCACAAGTCCCTGGTGCTTCTTGCAGAAGGCAGGTCTTTCTCCTTCATGGAGAGCAATCACCAGACTCAGAAACTTGAAGAATAGAAGCAATTTTCTCACCATGATCAAAGTGTGTTAGTGCCCTCCCTGCACATGCCACCATACTGGGAATTTAGAAAACATTACAGAAAATGTTCTTTTCAAGTCAGGCATGGTGGATACTAGCACCTAGGATCTTAGCACTTGGGAGGTAGAAGAAGGAAGATCAGAAGTTCAAAGCCATCCTGGACTACTTAACTGTCCCTCCCCCCCCCTCAAAAAAAAGACTGGAGAGATGTACCCAGCGGCTTGGGCATGGTGGCACATACTTTTAATCCCAGATCTCTATGAAATCAAGGTCTGCCTGGTCTACATAGCTAGATCCAGGCCAGCTGGGGCTACAGAGAGACCCTCTCTCTCAAAAAGAGAAAGGAGTGAGCAGAGTTTGTATCCCATCACCCACTTAACAAGTCAGGCATCCTAAGCATGCCTATAAAGACCCCAGCTCTGAGGGGCAGAGACAGAGGGATTGCTGTCTGGGCACTGGGGCTTGCTGGTTACCAACATAAGTCCCAGATTCAAGGAGAGACCCTATTTCAAAGGAATAAGCAGAAAATGATAGCAGGACAGCTGACATCCATTTCTGGCCTCACCCACATATACGTGAAAATATACTCCCACTGACACACACAAAGAAATAAATCTAGAGTGGGCAGTGGTAGTGCAAGCCTTTAATCCCAGCACCTAAAGGAAGAGGCAGGTGGATCTCTGTGAGACTGAGGCCAGCCTGGTCTACATAGCAAGTTCCAGGCCAGCTGTGGCTACATCTGTGGAAACTTGTCATTTTTTAAAATATTTTATTTATTATTTTTATTTTATGTGTATGAGTGCCTGCATGTATGTGAGTGCACCCGTGTCATGCAATGCCACGGAGGTCAGAAGAGGGCTTCGGATTCCCGTGGAACTGGAGTTAAGGACGGTTCGTAGCCACCATGTGGGTGCTGGGAATCAAACCCCGGACCTCTGCAAGAGCAGTCAGTGCTCTCAACCACTGAGCCATCTCTCCAGCCCTGGAAATTTGTCATTTTTTACAATGAATTCATGCTAATAATTTTTTTAATTGGGAAAATTATAAAATATGCCTACTAAGGCTGGTGAGATGATTCAATGGGTAAAGGCCCTCACTGCCAAGCCTGACAAATTCAGGTTTGATCCCTGGAACCCACATGGTGGAGAGAACTGACTCCTGCAAGTTGTCCTCTGACCTCTACTCGCATGCCTTGGCACACACCCATACAATAGCAAGCACCTCCCACTCTCTGAGCCATCTTCTGGGCCCTAAATCTTAAAATCTTGAATCAATCAGACATAACAATTGAGATCTTTTTTACGAAAATTTCTAAAGTACACAGAATAATAGAACAACTCCTTGGAAGTTTGAAACATAAAATCAACAGCAAATGCATAGAAATGCCTTTATGATAAACATGGTAAAGCTTTGAAATGAAGTAGCACACTAAGAAATAGCAGTAAATTGTATATTAAAAACTCAAAAATGGGCCTGGATTCATATATAAATGATAGACTTTAAGAGAAAACTATTTGTCAGACTACAGACAGAATTTGATGAACTACCAGCATGACACAGTTCCCTAATTTCTTGGGGGATTATTGTTGTTCTTGTTGTTGTTGTAGGGCTTTTTTGCTTGTCTGGTTTTTTTCAATGAGCTTTGGGGATTCTATGTTAATGTTAAAAGTTTCTTACTTCACAAGCTACAAAAACTTGATGTGCTAAGCCAGGACAAACTTAGAATGTCTTGTTAAAAATAGACCCCTATCAGAACATCACTCCTAATCCACAAAAGAATCTGCTAAGACATTTCAACAAGAGGTGTATTGTAGGCATTTCTGTCCATCAACAAATCTAACAAATTGATACAATGCCAAAGTGAAACTAAGCACAGTGCAAAGACTAAAGCAGACTCACGGCAGCCCGTCTCGTCAGTTCCATCGGAGCAGTCTCTGACGTGATCGCACCTGTACTCCCTCGGAACACACTGACCATTGGAGCATGTCAGCTGCTGACTTGAGCATGTTATCCCAGCTGTGAAGAAGATAGCACTTCATTTATAAATATTTCTAGTCACAGGCTAACCTGATGATATTCACCAAATATGAATGACGATACTAGAAAGAAAGAGCAAGCAGAGTGTATATTGAGCACACGGTTCACCATGCAAAAGCAAAGGCATGATGTTATCAAGTACAGACAATTACATTATGAACATGTGTTGAATACAATATACATTTAAAAAGTATATGGCATAGAGGATAAATTTAAAAATAAGACACTGGGGGGGGCGGCTATAGAGATGGCACAACAGTTAAGAGTACTTGCTACTCTTGCAAAAGACCAGGATCCCATTCCCAGCACCCACATCAGGTAGTTCACAACTTCCTATAACTCCAGTGCCAGGGGACCTGGTGCCCCCTCTTCTGTTCTTAGAGGGTACCTACATGCACATCGTACATATAGATTACACTCAGCCACGTATTTATTAAAAAATAAATATGGGCATTAGCCAAAGATTGGTAAGCACACCTCACTCAGTGAAAATCATTGCATAAACAAGGAAATCCCTGTATCAAAAGATGACTAAGATTCATAGTCTTCTGGGGAAGATGCAGGAAATAATTAGAAAATAATGATTGACACAGGAATCACACAAGTGGCATCACAGTGATGGTACACATCAGTAATCCCAGACCTTGAGAGAGGATGGTCAGGAGTTCAAGGCCAGCTCAGTGACATAGGGAGATCAATTCTAACCTGGGCTATATGAGACCTTGTCAAAGATGGGGCAGGAAGAGTAAGGGGGAGGAAAGGGGGGGCATCATAGAAAGATACCCACCTCCCTCTGAAATAGGAGAGAATGGATTGGGACAATTACCTTGGAGAATCTCTCTCTCTCTCTCTCTCTCTCTCTCTCTCTCTCTGTCTCTCTGTCTCTCTCTCAGACTGATTCACGTGGGAGCAGCAGTTAGCTGAGCAAATGGAAGGGACTGACAATGAGCGTTCAGCAGCATCCACAGAGGCACAGCTAGGACTAGGCACTACAAGCTTTCTGCACCACAGGTGCACTTCAAGACAGGAATAGTGAGGAAAAGACTTGGAAAAATAAGGCTCAGTTTCTTCCTGGAGGCTACTGGAAACCTATTATGGAGTTAGAATGTTCTCTGGATGGTGAGATGGCAAAGGGTTTTAATTGGATATTTGCTGGATGAGCACATTTATTTAAGTTGAACTTTTTGACTTAGTGAAAAGGTATCTGCTTGAAAAACATTTGGATTTGGTTGATACTGTTTTTTGTTTGTTCACTGGTTTTTTGTGGGTTTTGTTTTGTTTTGTTTTATATTTTTGAAACAGGGTTTTCCTATAACCCAAGCTGGCCTAGAACTCCATATGTAACTAGGCAGGCCTTTACTCACCAAGATCCACCTGCCTCTGCCTCCCAAGTGCTGGTATCAAAGGCATGCGCCACCATACCCGGCTTGTTCACTGTTTTTTAAATAGGGTTTCACTGTCTCCCTGATGGTGGCTGGAATTTACTATGTAGCCCAAGCTGACCTCAAACTTGTGGCAATCCTCCTGCCTCTGCTTAGTTTGCAGGCTTGTGTGACCATCCAGCTTACTTGGATCTTTGCATCATCATTGTTAAGTAGCACCTCACGCACAGCCCACCCAGCTGTGAAGTGCTAGCAATGAGTAGAGGCGTCAGTGGAAAGTGATAAATGTTAGAATGTTTGAGACAAATTAGGCAGGAGCTGTTTAAACATGAGCAATGAAGGAAAGCCTCAAGAATAAGTTTCAAGTTTATCTAGCACAGGATCCAAGGGGACTATGGTTTCTTTTCATGCCAATCAATGACATCTCCCTGCTACTTACAGAAATCTACTTTAAAATATAAGACTAAAGTATAGGCAAAAGATCTGAGACCTAAGCATAGATTTAGGGTCTCATCAGCCCATAGGGGGAACAAGAATGGCAGGACTATCTTGAGAAGAGTCACAGGAAGTCAGCAGGTGCTGGGGATCACTCATCCCTACTGTTTTCTTTCTTTCTACAACTCAAATTATGGCAGCTAAACCAAGCAGTTACTGAAGTAACCACAACCAGCACTTCCAGTACCTCAACCTACCAGCTCCACCCACACTCCATCACAGAGTGTTCAATACTGGGGCAGAGGGATAGAAGGTCTAAGTCAAGCACGGACTTCAGAAGCAAAAGGACTCATAGAACTGATGACCACATATTTGAAGACCCCACCTGTACCTACTAATCAATATTTTGTTTCCCCCTTGAGTGTGGCGTAATCTAAATTAAAGACTGGGAATCTAACCAGGTTCCAAACCTCAGGGGTCTAATTCCATAGTACATTCACATTTTCAGTATGACCCAGCCTCTGAAGGAGAGTGTCGGCATAGGTGCCCTGTTCAGCATTTACAAAGTATCAGCTCAATGTGTGCAATCAGTGACAAGCTAGACTTTAGGTATCCAAAGAACCAGACGAAAATTCCCCTCCACTTACGGCAATTCTGATGTTCATCTGAGCCGTCCGAGCAGTCCTCATCCTGGTCACACACCCAGGACTGAGGGATGCAGGTTCCTTCACTCTGACACAGGAAATAGCCTGTTCTGCAGGAATGAGGAGCTGAAAAGAGGATTCATGATGGCAAAATTGAGTACACCAGAGTCTACTCAAGATCATGGTCAAATCACCCCACACAGAGAATAAAGTGGACACACAAATTTATGACAAACCTAGTGTGGTTTTTTTCTTTTTTAGTTTTTTAAAACAAAATTATTAAAGTCTAATTTATGCAAAAAATTAACCATGAGTTTTTAAATCTTTTTTATTTTTATTTTGGCATTTTTGAGACTGGGTCTCCCTTTAACCCCAGCTGGCCTAGAACTCACTATGAAGACCAGGCTGGCCTACCTCTGCCTCCTGAGTACTGGGATTAAAGAACCATAAGATTTTTAATTATTCAAAATGTTTTGTAACAGCTAATAGTAAGATAACGTGGTGAATGAGATATCCACATGTACTTATTTTAGAATTTTCAGCTAGCTCTCTAGAATGAATGCATACATCATAAAATGTGAATTAAACTTATCTCAAAAAATTAAGCTAATGAGTATGAAAGTGCTGGTAATGTGGTTGTTAGTGTCATTGGCATTGTGGACCCCATCGTTATAGGACACTGTAAAGTAATCATCTCTGAAGAGTTGGTAATCTCGCTGTTTATTTATTCCTTTATCCCAGAATAGACTGCTCTTACATTCTCCTACTGCTCAACTAGGAGTCAGATTGATATTATAGGACATGATCATGCTCCACAAACTTAACTTCGCTCATTCAAAAGATGAGCCACAGAGGAGAAGCATCCCCATCAGTTAGGGACTAGTAGAAATGCAAAAATTCCCAGGATCTACCCCAAACTTACAGAAACATAAGGAAAATAAGTGAGTAGCCCTGCATGGGACTACTGCTCCCCTTTCCTCCCTCCCATTTTCAAGCTCCTCATCATTAAAACAACACATCCAAGTGTGAGGGGCTGTGCCACAGGGTGGTCAATTCCAAACAAGATTAATGCTTTCACCTGCTTTCCTGATTGGGAATGATAACCTTTGTCTGTTGACCTGTCAGCATGAAGGACTGCAGCCCAGTGACTCATCGCCTATGGCAAGTTGGGAAGAGCAACGGACAGTGATTTGTGCAAAGCCCTCCCCAATCATAAGGACGTTTCCTAATCTGAAACCTACTCAGAATAATGCTGAGAACTACATGAAGAAAGGTTAAAATGGTTTTACAATTTAATTTCAGATTTAAAATGTTTTTTAAATTTTTTACTTTTTATTTATTTTTATTTTATGTGTATGAATGTTTTGCCTGCATGTGTGTAAGTGCACCCATGACATTCAAGCCAGTGGAGGACAGAAGAGGGCATCAGATCCCCTGGAACTGGAGTTAGACAGGTTATAGCTGCCACATGAATGCTGAAAGTGAACCTGGGTCCTCTGCCATCTCTCCAGCCCATATTATTTCTCTAACTAGATTTTTTTCTTTTAACATAAACTGAAACTAGTCACTATTGTGACTTCATGGTAACTGACGCAAGTCAAACTACATCTTTTATATATAAAAGGAACTGCTTCCTGGATCATAAATCACAGTAGTTAGTTCAGTAACATTTTTTGCTTTACAAAATTTGTAAAGTGAATAATCAGCAATAACTTGTAAGCTTAGAAAAACAAGTACAAATTCATTTGATTATGGTCAAAGTCTCATGACAAGATAGAAAGTGATATAATGGAGCCCCTCCCTCCAAAGTGAAACAATATTGGTGCCAGTTCACAGATCTCAACAGTTCTGGGTCTGCCACTAGCGCACAACCCTTCTCTTTGTTACAACTGAGCTCACAAGGCACTTACTTATGTCACTCAAAACAGGGCTGAACCTGGCCCCTCCCCACTTACCACAACCAATTTCATCTGTATCATCCAAACAGTCTCTGGTTCCATCGCACCTCCAAGCTGCAGGGATACAATATCCATTTCCACAGCGAAAATTTCCACTGCCACAGCCTATAGTAACCAAGAAACAGACATCATTTTAAAACCCATGAAAGAAACATAAATTTGGAATTAAAAAAATAATTCAACAACTTAGTAATCAAAAGAATGCGAATTACACATAAAATTATGAAAACATTTTCATACTGATAATATAAAAACATTCCATCTGCAAAGTTATTTTCATACACATTTGATTAGCACACACTTTGATATGACCAGTCCTTTAATACCAGGACTCAGGGCAGAAGCAGGTGGATCTGTGAGTTCCAGGACAGCCTGGTCTATGTAGTGAGACCCTGTATCAAAAGTTTGTTCTTTAACATTTACCTGTAGGTATTCTTTTCCTAAGGAATTAATCTGAGAACTAGGCAAAGATTCTAAATATTTTCATCACAACATCATTTATAATAAATTACAAAGCTCCTAATTATCCAATAATAAGATCAAATTTTCTTATATCTATGTCACAGCATACTGGGAACTTATGAAAATGGTGAAGAACTTCTAAATAATCTGAAGAAATATTTGCAATATAATATAAATAAAGATACCAGTGTGAACCTTAGCTAGAATGTTAATGTAGCTATGCCCATCATTGTTTAGATTTAGTTCCCCTCCTTATACTTCTTTAACTGGCTTTTCAATATTAAACCATATATAGAAAGTTTTAGATTCAGTTTAAATCAAATCAATACTTGAGCTCTTTTTTAAGTCAAATCTGTAAACTCATCTCTGTCAGTACATGTTTTTAAAAGATAAAACTAATTATCTGCAACCAGAGGGCAGGAACATGGCACCAAAGATTACCACACCCCATGAGGCAGTGGCTTCCCTAGTCCTGCTATAAAGGGAATGACTTAAGCTCATTTCATTTAACAACTATATCTTGCAATGTTCCCTGGTCTCTCCAGGGGACTCATTTGACAGTTGGAAATCCTCCAACTCTCCCCAAATATCTGGCCAGTGACCTTCCCAAGCATTTTGTGCCAAGAAGAAAAAAAAAATTTTAAGTGAGCAGCCAACACAAGCCCAACTTGGAGAAGTATCAAAATTATTCTTTCACAAAACCAAGGGAAAAGAGTAATTTTCAAAGTTGAAAAAATAATTTTATTTTCCTCCTACATTTAAGCAATCATGCTAAATTATCCAATTGAGGGGTTTGGCTATAATTAACCCCTACATTAGCTAAATATACAGATCAATTACCCACTCCTAGAATAAATAAACAACATGTTATCCTGACTTGTGTAAATGTAGGCATATCAACAGCATGACATAAACATAGTTAAGTGATCTATTCCTAGGGAATATAGGTTTTCTTCATGGAATGTTCAAATCTGATTGTCTGGTAGTGACATCCTGATTTATAATGTATGCTGCAAATGGTCAGAAACTTCCCTGGGCTTAATGGTGGTACCGAGTGGTACAGGAGTATGTACACCCAAATACCTTCTATAGACTAATGCATGGTGGTGGTTGGTGGTGCAGGTCTGGGGTTGGTGGTGCAGGTCTCTTATCAACTACCTTTAAAGCACAACAACCTCCCTTGCAAAAATGCCCCTAAGGAATGTACAAATTCACTCTGGAATCCCAGAACTTCTCATTGGATTTTGTTCTACAAAGCAATATTTCCATGGGAGATTAGGGGCTTTGGAGGGTTAGCTATTAACACAACATACATTAAATCACTTTTATCAATCAGGCCTATTGTTAATAATCCAGAATAATACATTGGTGAGTTTAGTGCATTTGTATCTTAATATCTAATCACTTCTGATTGAAAAAATTGATTTCAATTTTCAAAAATTGATCTATTTTCAAAAATAGATTGTAAAAGTCTAGTTTAAGTTTTATATTGTTGCTGCCTTTCTTGAAAATACACATAACTGATACTATTTCTTTAAGCAATTTTTAATGCAAGTTAAGTTGAGGGACGTGTTTATTTTATTTTTGTTAAAATACCAAGCTAAAGACATCATAAAAATATTATAAAATAAACAACCAAAAAATTAAGAACTTCAGAGCCAATTATTTAAAATCATACACACAAAATATTGATGAGAAATTTATTTTAACCCTAGGCAGAGATTTGTAATTTATCTCCCAATCATTGCATTATCTAAAGCAACATTATCACCCAGTTTACTCAATTTATCAACATTTCTATGATAATTCATCTGTCAAATTCACCTTTTCAGTGGGAATTCCACCCCTGTTATAATTTCCAAATGACCATTGTTTGAAAATAGCTATCAAAAAACAAATGGACACTTTATCATTGCTGGGTGGTCTCTCAGCAACCAGTCAAAATCCCCCACTGACACACAGGAGTGTGTCACTTATTCAGAGAATGTGTGTTGTTTAAAAACAAACTGCCTGTGAAAAGGTCTAGGTTAGGGCTCGATAACGAATGCAGGTGCCCCTGATTTCAACTGATTTAACTTTCTGAGTATCCTGTATTAATGGGTGACCTTTCCTCATAAGTCCTGTCAAGGTGACTATTAATCCTCTTAACAGCCCTGAGATGCAGACCCTTATTATGAACATTTTGTAAATAAAGAAATCAAGGCAGAGAGATTCAGTAACTTGCTTAGGACCTAACAGAAAACCTATAAAGAAACAATTTGAACTTGGCAATCCCATGTCAGCAACCATGCCACACCAACCACTGCTGTGCTCCCTTCACACACGCATGCACGCACGCACGCACGCACGCGCTCGCACCAAATTATTCCACTAAACACAAAAATGAATGTGAATTTCTCATTGATTTCCAAACTTGCTATCTACCAGTACTAGTTGAGTTCATGAATCAGCGTTGTGTGGACTCCATGATGGACATACATTGTTAGAGCAGCCTACTTTGAAACCAACATTGCACTGAACCATTCTTCACCTTTGGAAATTTTGCAGCGATCAAAAGCAACAAAGAGAAATCTAAAAAGAATTTTAATCCACTCTGAAATTTTAAATGAAACATAGGGATGAATTTCACGACTTTATAGAGAAAAAAACAATCTTCTTTATAAGTCACCATATCCCAATCTCCTGGTGTAAGTGTTAGACTAAGAATGTCCTAAGATAAGATATTAGAATAGCAGATAGTGTTCAGAGGAAGGAAGCACTGTGGAGCACTGTGGGGTAGCAAAAGCATACTTATCAGGAATTCAGTATGTCAGAACCAGTGCAAACAATGAAACTTCAGATAGGAATTTATAATCTTAAATTCATAGAAAAATGAAGCTAAGTTTGATGGTACATGCCAGGACTCAGGAGACTAAAATAAAGTAAGGGGATTTCTTGGGCTGCATAGCAAAACCATGTCTCAATTGAATTTTATCTGTACAGTGCATTCAAGGCCAGCCTGGGCTACATAGTGAGTACCAACTGGCCTGGAACTCACTATATAGACCAGGGTAGCCTCGATCTCATACAGATTTGCCTGCCTCTGCCTCTGAGTGCTGCGATTAAAGGCACACACCACCACACCTGGCTAGACTAGAATAATTTTATAAGGACTCTGAAGAAGTTATTTCAAAGGAAAACCGATAACAAACATTTCATTCTTTTCTAATATTACATAGTATTTGCACATGCCTGTGTGTGTGTGTGTATGTGTGTGTGTGTGTGTGTGTGTGTGTGTGTGTGTGTGTGTGTGTGTGTGTATGCCCACATGAATGGGCATATGGTACCACGGCATGTGTGTAAAGGTCAGAGGACAGCTTTCAGGAGTTGGTTCTCTCCTTCTACCATAAGTGTTACCCAGGGTTGGAACTCAGGACAAATGCTTTTACCCACTGAGGTCCTTTCATTCTTTTAACCTTTCCTTGCCCTATCATGATTTCTCTTCTTAGAAAAGAAAGTCAAATGGTAGTCAATGGAACATTCTTCAAAGTCAACGCAGTGAGGTAACTTCTGTAGAAAATCTTTTTTTTTTTTGCTAGATCCTCTTAAAACAGCCTGGTCCTTCTAAACACTTGGTCACCCTTAAGAGGCTTGTGAGCTTTGTTTTCAAAATGTATGCAACTAAACCACACTGTGATTGTTCTGCTTTCCCTGAATTCAAACAAACAAATGTAAAGCAATTCCTTAATTCATCCATAATCTTTTTTTCATTTTTTCTGTATTTAATTTTGAATCCCTTGGCACTGATAGACAAATCTCAAATGTTTATAACAAGTAACATATATAAAACGCTAATCTCCTTTTGAAGATTCAGGATTACCTGTTTATTTCCAAAACTATACACATTGTTTCAATGACAGCCAAGGCAACAAATTAAATGGAAGATCCTGCCCTGCCTCAGGGCAACTGGACACTCAAGGACTCACTAATGGAACTAATGGAAGCAAGACCACAACAGAACACCAAATAACAGGCTGAAATTCTTTTGTGTTTTTAATCTACTTTAAAAACTATTGGGGTCCTTTTTCCAAATTATTGTTTCACAGCCCCAATATATTAAGAGGTCATTTGTAGATGTCAAAGATTTAGGGACAAAACACATAAAACTAACTAATACATTATCATGTACAGGTATCATTTTAATGCAACTTAAAAAAAAATAGAACCAGGGTCTGGAGAGATGGATCAGTAGTTAAGAGTATGTACTGCTCTTGAACCCACATTGGGTAACTCATAACCACCTGTAGCTCCAGCTAGCCTTTGAGGGCACCTGCATTCACATGCACATAATCCACATGCAGACATGCATATACATAGTTAAAAATAAGAATAAATGAATAGGACCAAAATGGGGTTTGTAGCCTTTCCATGCTGAGTAGTGAGGAAATGAAGAGATGGAGCTGCCATCCTTTATAACACACTTCTTTCCCTTTCATCTAACCACTCGTCACTGGTCTTGCTCCCCACCACTGCTTGTTTTTCATTAAGTAGCTCCCACCCTGCAGTCAGCCTGACTGTCAGCACTACAGAGTATTATGAACCAAGCCACACTTCTTGGCATTTAAGATGGGACAGTCACTCATCTTTCAGAACAATTCTGATGG